TCCATTCTACTGCCTTCTCCAGCTAGAGGACATTCCTCTCCAGCCACAGCTTTACTCTGGCTGTGAAACACCTGAGAAAAGCTCTGTATGAACTTGGAAAAATCTATGCCATTAAGACACTATAGAGGATAAAAACTAAGCCAGGGAACAGTGGGGACAGAATAATTCTATTTTTAAAAAACATACCTTTTGAGATGAGATCTCACTCTGTCACATGGGCTGAAGGGCAGTGGCACAATCATGGCTCACTGCAGCCTCAAACTCCAAGGCTCAATCAGTCCTCCTACTTCAGCCTCCCAGGAAGCTGGGATCTCAAGTGCACACCATCATGCCCAGCTAATTTTTATATTTTTTAGAGACCAGGTGCTATGTTGCCTGGGCTGGTCTCAAACTCCTGGACTCAAGTGATCCACCTGCCTCAGCCTCCCAAAGTATTACAATAAATTATATATATAATAGGTATATATATCCATGCAGAAAATAAAGACTAGAAAGATTTAGGAGAAAATGTTCTCTTTGGTGATGTGATGATAGGCAACTTTGTCACCTTATTTTTTTTTTTTCATTATTCTAGTTTTCTTTTAGAAACACCTGTTAATTTTGAAAAGTTAGGTTTTCTAGGATAATCTTTGCTGAATCTGGCTTGCTAAGAGGTGAGAAAAGTAATGCACAAGGAAGCTGGGAATTGGCATGAGTGATTCCAATAGTATGCCACTACTGAGGGTATTTCTTGGGTATTAATAGGTACATAGGGCTCACAGTGTTTATCAGCCTCCTGCAGCCATTCTACTCACTTCCAGGAAGGGGCTCATTCTTCTGGCCCCCAGGGGGCAGTCCTCCATAAGTTTACAAAAACCTACTCTCTCCCCCACAGTGTGAATAATCAGGCTTCATGTTGGCCACAACTCAGCTACACCAAGGTCTGAGAAATTCTGGGCACTTTTACAACAACGACAAAATACTATAGACACTGAGAGATAATATTTTATAAACAGAGGCAAAATCCCCAAATAAACAGAAAAGAAACAGAACACAAACCACCCACACTGCTCAGCCATAGCACCAAATGATTTCCATCTACAAGAACATTTTTGTGTTTGGGGAGGGAGGGCAAAGGTGGAAAGGATAAACACAACAAAGTCACTAGACAACGTTCAGATTGTTTAAGAAAAGGTCTGCTTCTATGAAAACCTCCTACTAGGTGTTAAGCCTTGGGCGAGTCACTTAACTGTTTTCCTCCTCTATTTCATCCATCGTCAGTTTCCCAATCCGCAGCCTTGAAGATTTTCCGAGTGCTTTAGAAACTGTCAAGTGTGCAAAGGTATTTTTCCCTGTTGTGTTGGTTGTTCAACATTTCCCTCCAGATCCATTTTGTACCCTTCTCTGAGTTAGTCTGTGCCTTGAGATACTGATGGTTTTTGATTGTGGTACAGGCTCTCTTGCCCATTGGCATCTGTTGGGTTTGGCCAGTGGGAAACAATAAGAGATTAGACAACAGGAGAAGACAGAGATAGACACTTCCTTGCCAGATACCTATGTTATCTTAAAGAAGCCCCAGGAGCATAAGTGCTACCAACTTATTATGCAATGCTGAGGGCTAAAAGGCATTCTTGAGATTTTAGAGGTGTTTTGTGCTAATTAAATGTCAGGATATCTTATTCACCTTTTTACCAAACACTGATTAACCTCAGAATGTTAGAATAGGGTGCAATTTGGGGTATTAGCTTAGTAGTTTCCAAACTGTAAGTGACAGTTCCCTGGTATCCAAAGAACTGTGGAACAGAACACCAAGTGTGTGTGCTTGTCTGCAGCATTGTCTGCAGATGGAATAACTCATGTGCCACATAGAGCAACTCCCTGTTATTTTCCAAGTATAAGTCGATGGACTTTTGACAAAATGCAAGGTCTTATAAAGGCATGACAGAATTCATGGGGCTTATTGGATACTGTTTTAACAAGGAGTAACTAAAAAGGCCTTTTTAATATCATAATTTTGGAAACAACTCAACTAGGTTCACTTCTAATGAAATCAAACTTTTTATTGTTTTGGTTCATCATTTCAGGTAAATTATTTTCCCTTCCTTTGACTCATTCAGCAAAAACTAATTGAGATCCTCATATACATTTGGCATTGAGCTAAATATTTGGATTTCCTCCAAAAGTGAAAAAAGACATCAACTCATGGACCTTATGTTCCAGTGACAAAGGAGCTCATCAGAGAAATTATTACACAAATATTTGCTTAAATTAAATTTGTGGTAAATGCTATGAATCAAAGTTATAGGCCAAGAATGTAGATATGCCAGGGGATATAGCCCATTCTAAAGTGTTAGGGAAATATCCCCTAAGAAAGAGACACAATGTGTGTATGTATGTGTATATATATATATAATTTGAGACAAAATCTTGCTGTGTCATCCAGGCTGGAGTGCAATGGAATGCAATGGCTTGGTCTCGGCTCACTGCAATCTCCACCTCCTGGGTTCAAGAGATTCTCCTGCCTCAGTCTCCCAAGTAGCTGGGATTACAGATGCACACCACCATGCCCAGCTAATTTTTGTATATTTAAGTAGAGACAAGGTTTCACCATGTTGGCCATGCTGGTCTCGAACTCCTGACCTCGTGATCTGCCTTCCTTGGCCTCCCAAAGTGCTAGGATTACAGGCGTAAACCACTGCTCCCGGCCAAAAGATACATTTAAGTTGAGACTTAGTAATACTCCTGAAGGAAGCCACTTTGTCATAATTTGCTCTTCACTAATCCAGTGGACACCACCCAGGACTTCAACAAGTGTCTCCTGCAGCTGATGTTATGCAAGCTGCTCAGTAACTACAATGTCTTGCTCTGGAACTTAGACCAGAAAGAGCTCTAAAATGAGCATCTGTAAATAATCAGTAGATTCCTTTCCACTCTTGTTAAAACGGGGCACTTCGCTTCTTGCCATGCATGCATGTTTCAAGATGCTCATCTTAAGCTTCTTCATGTTAGATTGTAACAGAGGATGGTGAAGTAGAAGCTTCATTATGATGAGTAACATTTTTCCCTAGTATTGGAAAATTAAGCCAGAGTGGATGAAGTGCGAATGCATTTGCTTAGTTTATCTTTAAAAATATTCTGGACTCTATTTGTATAAATGTATTACTCTTTGATTCTTAGAATGTTTCTTCAGATTTAAGTATACACACACACACACACACACACACACACACACATACACACACATATATGTGTTGATTCAAAATCCGGTGTTAGCGTGTACTGTGGATAAGGTGATCTTATGAGGTCATCACAGATTGGGGGACAGAAGCTCTTATTCTCTAAAGTTATGGTTGTAAAGGCTATAAAGTTGAACTACACTTACTTCTCAAAATCCTTGAAATCCTCTAATATTTGGGGAAAAGAAAACTTTGTGCATATCAAATAAAGTAAATCAGTATCAGCAAGGACCCTGGCAATAGCCTAATGAGCCCTAAGTGAATGTAATCATGGAAACAGCAGAGAAGTGGTGACATAAGACTCAGCCACTGCAAAATCTCCTGGCAATTGTTGAGACAGGGCAGTACAGAAAGCAAAGCATGAGGATAGAGTGTCCACACTGGAAAACAGAGGGAGGGCTGCCTAATTCCTAAGGAGAATGGTTCTCTGCTACCTGCCATGCTGAGAATAATTTTAGAGAGACATTTGGCCAAAGATGTTAAGAACTAACTGTGGTTTAATTTTTATTATTTATTTATTTGCTCGGATTACAGGCGTGCACCATGACGCCCAGCTAATTTTTTGTATTATAGTAGAGACAGGGTTTCACCATGTTGGCTAGGCTGGTCTCGAACTCCTGACCTCAGGTGATCTGCCCGCCTCAGCCTCCCAAAGTGCTGGGATTACAGGTGTGAGACACCACGCCTGGCAGTTTAATTCTTATCTCACTGTTAGCCCCAAAGAACAAACTATTCAGGCTCTGATATTTCAGAATGTCAGTGGCTTTTCTTCTTGCTCCTCAAATCACACCACACCCTAATACAGTAATAATCTGTCAACCTCCATGCCAGACAGTGACACCTCAACTTCCTCATCTATAATATTAGGATAATACTAACTTTCACCAATTGCCAGAGGTTTTAAGTGAGGCAATGCATGTAACAGATTTAACCACAATTACTTGTACATAGCAAAGATTTAAAAATACCAGCCATCCTTTTTAGTGCCCTTTTGTGGTAGTTAGGTAAGGGGCCATGTACTCATCACTATGTTCTTAGCATCTATTACAGTGTCCAGCACATAGAAGAGCTTCAAAATTTCTGGAAAGAATGAGTGAGGATATTATTAAAAATTGAGGATGCCCAGGGTTTAGAATTCAGAATAATGAAAGATCTCTTTTTGTTTCAACTCTTCACAGCAAAAAATCCAGTTACACTCCACAATCTTACTCTGACATTGAGAAAAGTGAAAACTTCAATGGATTATCCTAAACACCACCACAAATAATGTGTTTCTCATTAGGGAAAAAAAATACCTTGACCACCAGTTTCCAAACACTGACTTCCTGAAAGAAAGTAGAAAAATCCAAATCTAAATAAAAATCTGCAGCTTCTCCAAGACCGAAGCTTCGGGCCATATCAACTAATACTCCAGGAGGGAGTAGCTTCCGAACACCAATTGAACTAGCTTCCCTTTGTAAAGCTCCTTTTATAGGCAGGTTTCCTTTTCCATATCCTTGGGGTTTTATTTCTCTTTGCAGGCTGTTTGCAATATTCTGGTCTGAGGGAGTAAACGGGAAAGAGGAGGCGAAATGCAGGGTGAGTTCCTCCAAATGTCAGGCTGGGTAGTGCCAGGACAGCTGGGCCTGAAATCCTGTACCCAAGGAGGGGACTGGTGTGGCTGAGAAGAATGTGAGCTCAGCTTCATCTGGTTTCTTTCAATGCTCAAAGCAAAGAGCCTGCGTTATTGCATTCTTTCTCGATGTCTTACATAAAATCAGATTATTAAGTGCAGAGGCAGTCAACTGTTCTCCCTCCTCCTGGCTAGCTTTTTAGCATCCCCATAGCAACGTCAATAAACAGAGAAATAAATGAACTTCTGAAGAACAAGTCTGTTGGCTTTGTTATTCTCACTCGCCCTGCTTAAAGACACACACACACTGTTGTTATTGTTCTCCTTCCTAAATCTATGAGCTTTTTCAGCCAGCGATGACCGGTTTGAGCTCTTACATTTAGATTTTGATCCATTTTGAGTTTGGTTTCTGTCACCCCTTTGTTTTAAAAAAACTTCAACTACTCAGTATCATCTACAGAATTAGATCTGTTTCCTTTCCACAGTATTCAAAGTTCACTTGATCTCTTTCTTTTCTCTTTTTTTGTTTTCTTTTTGAGACAGGGTCTCGCTCTGTTGCCCAAGCTGAAGTGCAGTGGTGCGATCTTGGCTCGCTGCACCCTCTGGCTCCTGGGTTAGAGCAATTCTCCTGCCTCAGCCTCCTGAGTAGCTGGTACTACAGTCGCCTGGCACCATGCCTGGCTAATTTTTGTATTTTTAGTAGAGACAGGGCTTTGCCATGTTGGCTAAGCTGCTCTCAAATTCCTGACCTCAGATAATCTGCCTGCCTCAACTTCCCAAAGTGCTGGAATTACAGGCATGAGCCACCACATCCGGCCTCACTTGATCTCTTTCAAAACCAGTTCTCCACCATTATTTGTCAATGACAGCTTAAGCTTCATTCAAGTAGAAAAAGGCTTAATTTCTTTATAAGATTCTTTCTCATCTGATATTAACACCTGTATCCACGCTCCCAGCTAGGTTATTAGAAAAGGGTGTTGGGCTGGGTGCAGTGGCTCATGCCTGTAATCCCAGCACTTTGGGAGGCTGAGGCGGGTGGATCATTTGAGGTCAGGAGTTCGGGACCAGCCTGGTTAACATGGTGAAACCTTGTCTATACGAAAAATACGAAAATTAGCCAGGTGTGCTGGTGCGTGCATGCCTGTAAACTCAGCTACTCAGGAGGCTAAGGCATGAGAATCACTTTAGCCCAGGAAACGGTGCTTGCAGTGAGCCAAGATCACGCCACTGCACTCCAGCCTGGGTGACAGGGTAAAACTTCGCAAAAAAAAAAAAACGGTGTTTATATCAGATGAGAAAAAGTCTTACAAGGAAAGCAACAACCAAAACAACCTTCAAATCTACCTGCAACATGGGATCCCAATCTGGCTTCTACTGCCGCCAGCCTGGATCAAGCCATCCCAGGGCCAATCTGGATGACATTTGCAAGGGCCTCTGAACTGAGCTCCGTGCTTATACTCTTGTCCAGCAAGGCCTGTTTTTTGACACAGCAGTCAGAATGATCGTTTAAAAACGTAAATCCTATTAGGTCACTCATCTGTTTAAAACTCTTCAGGGACTTTCCTGGCACATAGATGAAGTCCAAAGACCTTATCATGCTATCCGGTCCTAAGTGGCCTGGACTGTGTTCATTTATCTCATTTTGTATCTCTTGTCTCACCTCTGGCTGTTACCCTCCAGAATCACTGGCCTTATTTCCATTCCCTAAATGTGTACAGCTTTTTCCTGCTTCTGGTCTTTGTATTTTCTCTTATCCTTCCTAGAACAGTTTCCTCTGATTTTATGGGGTTGACGCCTTCTCATTGCCATTCAGGCCTCGGCTCAAATGTTTTCTCTAAATGTTTTGGAGAATTTATTGACTGCGCCAACTGTAGTTCCTTTACCTCATCCCACCTCAGTATACTAGTAAATCATTCTGTTTCCTTGTTGTCTTGCTTATTTATTTGATAACTTCATTATCTGAATGTCTCCATTCCAGTATAAGGAGGGCAGTAACCATTTCTGATTGGCTCATCACACAAAGCATTGGCACACAAAAGGAAATCAATAAAAGTATTTTTGTAATGAATCAATAAATAAACCCCATTTTTCAAGACCCAGCTTGTGTATGACCTCTCTGGTGAAGGCTTTATCATCCATTACTAGAAAGTGCCTCTCCTAGGCATATCTCCTGCATAACATTGATCACTTCATTTCTTTTTTTTTTTTTTTTTTTTTTTGAGACGGAGTTTCGCTCTTGTGACCCAGGCTGGAGTGCAATGGCGCGATCTCCGCTCACCGCAACCTCCGCCTCCTGGGTTCAGGCAATTCTCCTGCCTCAGCCTCCTGAGTAGCTGGGATTACAGGCACGTGCCACCATGCCCAGCTAATTTTTTGTATTTTTAGTAGAGACGGGGTTTCACCATGTAGACCAGGATGGTCTCGATCTCTTGACCTTGTGATCCACCCGCCTCGGCCTCCCAAAGAGCTGGGATTACAGGCGTGAGCCACCGCGCCCGGCCACTTCATTTCTTTTAGAGGACAGATGTGTACAGCTGCCATACCTTCTCTATTAAACTATAGCTTCTTAAGCAATGTCTCATCCATTTTATAACCTACCACTTATATCTTTATTTATCAGAGATGCTCAATAAAAGAATATGACTGTTTTGCTTCTCGCCCCTGCAATAGCTCACAGGCACGGGCCTATCCCTGCAGCTGTCCCTCTACTAAATGTTGAAGCAGGTGAAGTTTATTTCTTGGTTACTAATTATAGCATACCTTTTCAGTGGTTCGCATCACAGTCCTTGGCTGCCATCTCATGTGTAAGCTATTGAGAACGGTTCTTTGTGAGCTGAAGCATCGTTGCCATGTGTATTAGTCTGTTCTTGCATTGCTGTAAAGAACTACCTGAGACTGAGTAATGTATAAAGAAAAGAGGTTTAATTGGCTCACAGCTGTGCAGGCTGTACAGGAAGCATGGCTGGGGGGAGGCCTCAGGAAATTTACAGTCATGGTGGTAGGTGAAGGGGAAGATTTGTCTTACATGGCCAGAGCAGGAGGAAGAGGGTGAAGGGAGAGGTGCTACATGCTTTTAAACAACCAGATCTCATGAGAACTCACTCACTACCTTGAGAACAGCAAGGGGGAAATCTGCCCACATGATCCAATCACCTCCCACTGGGTCCCTCCTCCAATACTGAGGATTGCAATTCAATATGAGATTTGGGCAGGGACACAAATCCAAGCCATATCAACAGGGTCTCCAGGTGGGTACCAGAAATAAGAGCCTTCTTTGGAGTCACAGCAGACCACTCCACCCTCCGATCCCAACACACACACCCTTCGGAGGTGCGAGAGAGCTAACGTTCTGCAAGGGCAATGCTCAACCAATGGTGACAGAAACTGGAGACAGAAAATGAGGGTAAGTGCCTCATTTTTCTGGTCTTTATCTGGGCCAATCTGAGAGACATTCTAGAGAGTTCTCAGATATTCTGGCAGAACTAAGCCCTTGTCACCTGTGGCAGTGACCTCAACAATGGACCTTCCTAAAATTGTATCCCTTTCCATGCTGTTCTCTTTCTCATCCTATTTTTGAGATCACTTCCCAAATAAACTATCTATAAATAAGTTGTCTCAGGCTTCACTTCCATGGAACTCAAAATAAGATATCGAGTTTTTCTTTAAGAATCTCCTCTGCTTTCAACAAATAATGTTGGAAAAACTGTATATTCACATGCAAAAGATTGAAATTGGACCATTACCTTATACCACATACAATAATTAACTCAAACTGGATCACAACCTAAATGTATGAGCTCAAACTGTAAAATTCGTAGAAGAAAACACAAGGATAACGTTGGATTTGGCAATGCTTTCCTGGATATGACACCAAAAGCACAGCAACAAAAGGAAAAACAGACAAATTATACTACATCAAAATATAAACTATCAGGGGCTGGGCATAGTTGTTCACGCCTGTAATCCCAGCACTTTGGGAGGCCGAGTTGGGAGGATCACCTGAGGTCAGGAGTTCCAGACCAACCTGGTCAACATGGTGAAACCCTGTCTCTACTAAAAATACAAAAATTAGCCAGGCATGATCGCGTGCATCTGTAATCTCAGCACTCAGGAGGCTGAGCCAGGAGGACTGCTTGAACCTGGGAGGAGGAGGTTGCAGTTAGGTGAGATCCTGCCATTGCACTCCAGCCTGGGTGACAGAGCAGGACACCATCTTAAAAAAAAAAAAAAAAAAAAACTAAAATATCAAAGAACAATATCAAAGGAGTAAAAAAGCAACCCATGCAATGGGAGAAAATATTCAGAAACCATATATTTAATAAGGGATTAATAGTTAGAATATATAGAGAACTCTTACAACTCAACAATAAAAAAATAAACAACCCGATTAATAATGGGCAAAAGACTTGAATATACATTTCTCCAAAGATGCTCTATAAATGGCCAATAAGCACGTGAAAGATGCTCGATCTACTAATCATTAGGGAAACACGAATCAATACCACCATGTGATATCACTTCATATCCATTAGGATGGCTATTTAAAAAACAAACAGAAAATAACAAGTGTCAGCAAGGATGTAGAGAAATTGGAACCATGGAAAACAGTACAGTCATTCCTCAAAATATTAAAGATAGAATTACCACGTAGTCCAGCAATTTCACTTCTGGGTATATATCCCAAATAACTGAAAGCAGGATTTCAAATTATATGTGCTCATAGCAGCATTATGTTCTTTACAAACAACAAGTGTCTATAGACAGCTGAATAGATCTGTAAAATGTGGTATATACATACAATTGAATATTATTCGGCCTTTAAAAGAAAGAAAATTCTGATATATGCTACATGAATAAACCTTAAAAACATTTCACTAAGGGAAATAAGCCAGTACAAAGAGAGAAATACGATATAATTTTATTTATATGAGGTACTTGAGTAGTCAGACTCATAGAGACAGAATATTTACAACAATGTGAATGCAACTAATGCCACTGAGGTGATAAGTTAAAAATAGTGAATGCAGAGAGAGAGAGAGAGAGAGAAGGAAAGGAAAAAAGAAAGGAGAAAGGAAAGGAAAGAGGAAAGGAAAGGAAAGGCAGAGGTTGCAGTGAGCTGAGATTGTGCCACTGCATTCCAGCCTGGACGACAGAGCAAGACTCTGCCTCAAAAAAAAAAAAAAAAAAAGAGAGAGAAGGAAAAAAAGAACCTCTTTGGCTTCAAATCTATAGAAACAAAGTCAAAGTAGATTAGCAGTTGCCTAAGTATGTAGAGGCTGGAGGGAAATAGGAAGTGATTTCTAATGCGTATAGCATTTCTTTGGGGGTAATGAAAACATTCTGAAATTGATGGTGGTGATGTGCTTCTGGGCATACTGACACTCAAATATGACACCTTGGCATCTGAGAAAGTAGGAGAAACAGGAAAAGTCACTCTCACCTTCTTCTGCCCTTCTTTCCTGAAGCAAGTCATAAGACCCTCTTTCCAGAGGTGTCCTCTCTATATGTAGAAAAAAGGAACATCCTTATTGAAAGACACAGACACAGAAGAATTTGAACAAACATGCCCTGCCAAGTTCCCACCAGCTTACTACCTTTAGATCACACCCTCTTTGTCTAATTATATTCCTCCACAACTGTCCAGTCTTCATTAAACCTAAGCATAAATATACACGGTCCCTTTTGCTTTGGATTTTCATTTTCAAAGCTTCCCATATCACATAAAACTCACATCAAATAAATGTGCATGCTTTTTTCTTGTTGATCTGCCTTTTTCTTATAGGTGCCTCAGCCATGAGCCTAACAGTGAGTGAAGAAAATTAATTTTTCCTCCCGTACAGTGATGTTGCACAACTCCGAATATGCTAAAAACCAATGAATTGTATACTTTAAATGGGTGACATATAGTATTTGAATTGTATCTCAAAAAATTGTTATATTAGAAGAAAAAGGAACTTTTTTTTTTCCTTTGCCTTTTGGCAATCCCTCTACTTAGGCATGGTATCTATGTGCTCACAAAGTGCTGTTATTTACAGCCTCTCCAAGGTGCAAAGCACTCCTCTCCAGCAAGCCGACAAATGACAGCGCCTGCAGAGAGATCGGTTATGTGAAATACTCCATCTTTCAGAAAGGCCTGTGCTGGCCCAATTTAAATTTCATTAGCCCCCGGATCTCTGTCTGCCAAGGAGCAGCGTTCAAGTCTACAGCCCCACCTGGAATATATGAGACGACCTGCTAGGGAAATGCTTTGTAAATGTTCAGGGCAGTCATTATTATGGCTCGTATTGTTATTTGTGTAGCCTTTATAAATGAAAACTGCTAGGAGAGTAAATTGATTTTAATAAGGCCCCCCCCCCAAAAAAAAAAAACCTGAAACTAGTCTTGGCTATCCATAACATTCTTTCTCATTATGTCCAAAAATTCAAATTTCTTTCTTCTTCCCCATCAAAATTATGCTCTGTTCTATTTCTTTCTCATTCTGCTGTCTTAAAACTAATATAGTATGCATCCATATTTTTAAAAGGCTTAATGACTATCTCTATGAATAAACCCATTAGGAAAAAAAAAAAAAAATCTCTGCTGCTTAAATAATTAAGCTAACATGGGAGGTCCAGAAAACCTGGCAGACTAATAAGGAAGATGTATTTAGATAAAAGTCACAACAGACACACAAAACATTGCCCGTGGGCTCTTCTCTTCAGCTGCTATTGAGGATAGAAACCATCAGTCACAGGGCTAAGTTGTACTTTCCAGACAGGAAAAATGGAGAAAATGGAGCAGTTTCCCAGCAGCCTGAGTCATTGGACTCAGCCAACATGACAGTCGTAGTGTTCCAGACTGATTTCGGTGATCCAGAAGATAATATCCTGGGACTCATTGTGAGAGTTTAAGATTAGAAAGGGCAGCCTTATTACCTCTTTTTAACGGTGCAATCCTGAGTGAGTCGCATATCATCTCTGACCCTTCAGTTTCTACGATTGAAATCTAATTCTTCCAAGCCCAGTACTCTTCCAATACACTAACCCTATCATAAATACTTATTTTTATTCAGACGAAGTTTCACTCCTGTTACCCAGGCTGGAGTGCAATGGTGCAATCTCGGCTCACCGCAATCTCCGCCTCCCAGGTTCAAGCGATTCTCCTGCCTCAACCTCCTGAGTAGCTGGGATTACAGGCATGAGACACCATGCTCGGCTAATTTTGTATTTTTAGTAGAGATGAGGTTTCTCCATACTGGTCAGGCTGGTCTGGAACTCGACCTCAGGTAATCTGCTCGCCTTGGCCTCCCAAAGTGCTGGGATTACAGGCATGAGCCACTGCGCCCAACCCATGAATATTTATTGTGCTAAAAGGTAAGGGACTTGGGTTTGATTATCATCTCAGTGTTTGTCAGCTTAGACAAGTCATACACTCTCAGGGACTCAGTTTCCATATCCTTAAAATGACAACAAATAACCTTGACAAAGACTAGAATCTGTGCGCTCTTGCTTCATTACATTTTCTTGAATATTTCAAACGTTTATAATAATAATAAAATCCTAATAGAATTTTAATTCTTAGTATTATTATTATTTTGAGACAGAGTTTCGCTCTTTCGCCAAGGCTGGAGTGAAGTGGCGTGATCTTGGCTCACTGCAATCTCCACCACCAAAGTTCAATTGATTCTCCTGCCTCAACCTCCCAAGAAGCTGGGATTACAAGTGTATGCCACCACACCTGGCTAATTTTTTTTTTTTTGTATTTTTAGTAAAGATGGGGTTTCACCATGTTGGCCAGGCTAGTCCCAAACTCTTCAAGTTATCCACCCACTTCGGCCTCCCAAAATGCTAGGATCATAGGCATGAGATACCATGCCCAGCCGGAATTTTTATTATTTTGCAAGGTAAAGAGAAAAATTTAAAAGAATTTAAACATCTTTTCATAAAGGATTGGTTAAGTAAATTGTATGTTCACATAATAGAATCCTAAGAAAAACATTAACAATAGATCATTATAATAGATTTAGAATAAAGACCAGGAAACATTAAGTGGGAAGAAAAATCAAGCTGTAGAACAGGATTGGTTAATTAGATATCATTATAATTAAAAAATATATCATTTTAAGAAAACAGCATAAATAGTGTATGAATATGTACATGCACACACACACACACACACACACACACACAGATAAAAGCTTGGTAGAATACAAACTATAATATGCCTGAATTGTAAGATATTTCGTTTTATATGCGTTTGTGTGTGTGTGTGTGTGTGTGTGTGTGTGTGTGTGTATAAGAGGGTAAGGGATGAATTAAATTTAAGATTGGAATTTGTCAGTCAGGATGTCACTTTTCCCATTATAGAACAGGTAACTTTGTGCCAGACTACTATACCAAGCATTTTATATTCAGTAACTCATTTAATCATCTAAATACCTAAAGGTTTCTTGCCATTATTATTATTCCAATTTTATGAATGAGAAAAGTGGAACATAAAGAAGCTAAGTAACTTACTCAGAATCTCACTTTTTTTCTTTAACCAATATTTAGCTTCTTAGCTAGTTGACTTTGAAATTAAAAAAAAAAAATCAGCAGAGCAATCTCTAATCCTAATATGATTGTTCTTTCTTCATCGCAAAGATAGCAGTCATAGATTTCTCTGTTTTCTATTCACTATGGGAAAATATTTCTTAGATAGGAATGCCTATAGGTGAAGGAACACCTATCCATATTGTTTTATTATGTGGCAGTATATTTGTTCTTCCCAACATATAGTTCAAACGATCCCTTGTTTTATCTGCCGTTATAAATAGTCAATACATTGAGTGAGGGGAAAATGTCACTACCTAAATGTCAAAAACATTTCACACCCTACCTTCATGTACTTATTGCTCCTTTCTCTAATGACATGAAAAAAGAGTAAATGTCTGTAGATAAATTGTAGCATTCTCATAAACTGAGAACTCAATGCCTAATAGTGAAAACGGGAATGAACTGACTGACAAATTTTTCAACTGCTTGAAGTCAGAAAATGTAGTTTAATTGGAACAGAATTTGCCAGTTATCCAGCATGATCCAAACA